TACTATAGTGCCATTTCTAACTATTGGCAGAGCAGGCAGTTGACCTCTGCATTATGAAGGGCCTCCATAAATGTACCACAGTACAATATAGCTAGGTAATGGCATATGTTTCATGTTTACATTGGGCACTCCCCACCAGGTACAATATTCTGATTGTTTGCATCTTGTTTTTAAGCCCATAAATAGTAATGTGCTCGTTCTAATAAATTTATATTGTAATGCACTCATACTAATATATTACAAAATCATCTTTACATTGCTGGTAGGTTATCATTTCACAAATTAACACTTTCTATGTTTAAAAAAATAAAAATTAGAAGAGTTCTAAACTAATGCGCTCTCTTCTGTATCTAATGCACACACACATGCTCAGTCACTCACACAGATCACGCTGCGGCCGCACTCAGACATTCAGCAACACAAACTTCTCAGTGCTGCCCCACAATTTTATCAATAAAATAGCTTAATCGCTCAAGAGCTACATTACCTTTCTCAACAAGGAGCTGGTAACATCATCGTTTCTAAAGGAATTAAAGCCACATCTTCAATGTTAATAGAGAAACGTGGCAAAACGGTGGTAATTCATACATACACAGCCCCTCTCTCTCTCTTTCTCTCTCTCTCTCTCGTAAATAAACACTTGATGAATTACACTTTTCTGAGAATAGAATATTAAGTGGAGATCGCTAAACTGCAAGCTTACCGGTGTTTTCAGAAATCAAGCGCGTTTATCCACACTGGAGAGCGCGTGCACATGGTTGCCAGGTTGACAAAAACAAGTAACACACTTAGCAGATATTTCCGTATTGCACAAGTGTGAAGCTCTGTTTCGGGGATTACGTCTCTTTATATCAGGCAACCCAGGTTGTGTTCCTCTGCAGCCAGATTAAACCTTTTTGTAGCCTATATATTACACTTATTATTATTATTATTATGCTATGCTCTATTCATTATTATTTAGAAACCTCGCACTTTTCTACTCCATTTTAAACGGTGTTCTTGTATTCAAATTAAGCGCAGTCCACTGCAGCGCACGTGCCACAATATCGATACAGGGCCAGACGATACATCGTTGTATCGAACACAGCACAAAATCATACTGCAAATCTCAGTAATCCTGGAATAAGCTATGTGGATTCAATTTTCAGTTTCAGGTTGTAGTCTTCAGATGTAATTTTTCAGATTTGTTCTTAGCCTTCTTTACTTTTGAATTGGCAACATTTTATCTGCATCTGCATTGATGTGAATTTGCGATGTTCTGTCTAAATCTGAGTTCATCCGTGTCCTAGTTAATTTGAAGTGGCAACACTGAGTTTGAAAAAGGGTAGATCTGAATTGGCAGTACTCAGTTTGAATCTGAGTCATTAAATCTGAACCTGGGTTAATCTGAATCATGAAGTAGCTGAACTGAAGTAGATTCTGAATTCATTTGAACTGGCAACATTCAGTCAGAATATGTGTTCATCTGAATTGGTAACACTGAATTTGAATCACAGTTCAACCAGACTGCTAGCATTCATTGTAAATCTGCATTAATCTGAATTGGTAGCATTTACTCTAAATTTGAATGAGCAACATTTAGTCTTAATTAGTGTTACTGTTAATATAAATTTGTTAGATTTAATATTAATATAAAATAAGTTCATCTGAATTAAAAGCATTCTAAATTGATCTGAATCAGCAACACTTAATATGAGTCACAGTTAAATTGAACTGCTAGAATTAATTTTGAATTTGAATTAATTTGAATTGCCAACAATTCAAGTTGATCTAAATTGACTGCATTCAGTATGGATAATCTAAATTAACAAACATTATGTCTTAATGTAATGTCTTAATCTGAATTGACAACACTGACTTGGAATCAGAGCAATTGTTAGCATTCAGTTTAAATCTGAATTCGTTTGATTTGGCAACATTCAAGCTGAACCTGAGTTATCCTACATTTGTAGCATTTACTCTGAATTTATCTGAGTTCATCTAAATTTATAACAACTACTCTGGATTTAAATGAGCAACATTCAGTATGAATATGAGTTGATCTGAACTGGCAACACTGAATCAGAGCTGAACTGAAATAGTAGCATTCAGTTTGAATCTGAATCCATTTGAATTGGCAACATTGAATCTGAACCTGAGTTCATCTAAATTTGTAGCATTTAATCTGATTTTATATTCACAGCAATCAGTCTGAGTCTGAGTTCATCTAAATTTGCTGCATTCAGTATGAATGTAAGTCATTCTTAATTAGCAACATTCTATCTGAATCACCAACACTGAATATGAATCAGAGCTGAATTGAATTGGTAGCATTCAGTTTGATTCTGAATTAATTTTAATTGGCAACATCTGAATCATTGTTAATCTGAATTTATAACCACTACACTGAATTTAAATGAGTAACATTCAGTATGAATATGAGTTGATCTGAACTGGCAACACTGAATCTGAATTTTGGTTGAAAATTGGTTGAATTCAGTTTAAATCTGAAGTCATTTGAATTGGCAAAATTCAGTCTGAACCTGAGTTAATCTAAATTTGTAGCATTTACTCTGAAATTATATTAGGAACAGTCAATCTGAATATGAATTCATCTAAATTTGCTGCATTGAATATGAATATGAGTCAATTTTAAAGGGGTCATATGATGCGATTTAAATTTTTCCTTTCTCTTTGGAGTGTTACAAGCTCTTGGTGCATAAAGAAGATCTGTAAAGTTGCAAAGACTAAAGTCTCAAATCCAAAGAGATATTCTTTTTAAAAGTTAAGAGTCAGCCACGCCTACCTAAAACGGCTCATTCTAACACGCCCCCACATGTCTACCTCACTATGTGGGAAGATTTGCATAATGCCGCCCAAATGTTCACGCAAAGAAAGAAGGCGTAACTTTTATTCTCGCTGTAGTATTGTTGCTGCCGCCGCCATGTCGTGAAGGCGCTGTGTGTTTCGTTGTGAAAGCGAAACTACTTTGGTTGGTCTTCCAAAAGAGGACGATATCGCTTCGTCATGCTTAGAGCTGATCCGTGCTGGTCGCTGAGGGAATACATCAACTTTCCAAAAGAGGACGATATCCGCTGAGCGGAGTCCAGCCCGGGGTCGTCACATGTGGTTGCCGCAAGCCCGCCCGCCTCTGCTTACTCAAGCCAGCCTCTGCATACTCTAGGCCTCCGGCCTCCACTCACTCAAGACAGCGGTGTGTGACGCTTTTTCGTTGTGAAAGCGAAACTACTTTGTTTGGTCTTCCAAAAGAGGACACGACTAGAAATCAGTGGTTAAGTTGTATTTACAACACTGTTCCAGAACAGTTCAACCCAAATATACAGATGTGTGCAGCACATTTTATGGAGAACTGTTTACTGATAGCAGTGTGGAGTAGCACTTGTTGTTTGTCATTTCTCCGATCACAAATGCAGACATGGTTTTATGTTACGCTCCGGCCGGACAGGGCATCACAGTATGGTAACGGGCGTAACATTTCCGTCACACGCTTGAGGTATTCAGCCAATCACAACGCACTGGATAGCTGGCCAATCACAGCACACCTCGCTTTTCAGACCGATGAGCTTTGTAAAAATCGATGCGTTTCAGAAAGGCGGGGCATAGAGGAGAAACAATGTACAGTATGTGGAAAATAATGTGTTTTTTGAACCTTAAACCGCATAAACACATTTCATTACACCAAATACACAAAATAATGTTCTTTTTAGCAGCATCATATGACCCCTTTAATTAGCAATATTCTGTCTAAATCTTAGTTGATCTGAATTGGCAACACTGAATATGAATCAGAGCGGAATTGAATTAGTAGCATTCAGTTCAAATCTGAATTCACTTGAATTAGCAACATTCAATCCGAATCTGTGTTAATCTAAATTAACAAACATTATGCTTGAATTTACAACACTGAAGCATTGAGTTTGAATCTGAATTAATTAGAATTGGCAGCATTCATTCTGAATTTGGGTTAATGTGAATCGGTGGCCTTTACTCTGAATTTGAATAAGCAGCATTCAATCTTTATGTGAGTTCATATGAATTGGCATCTTTTGGTGAGAATATGAGTTAATCTGGATTACCAACATTCTGTCTGAATTGGAGATAATCTGAATTGGGAGTGTATTGCAGTCTTGAGAGTCTAGATCTAAAATAAGAAAGCATATTGGACAAGACACAGATTACCCTGAATGACATGACACAGCATGTTAATGTCAGCTTCATAAAAGTACCCAGTAGAACACACTTCACCCTTCATATTCACTCTACTCATCTGTCTCTGCTCTGTCGTGACCCTGCCCTCTGGTCTTCAGCCTGGCTGTGTGCCTGCTTTACAGTGACCTTGTTGGACTGCTCTGAAAGGTTGGGCCTGTAACTAGATTCTGAGCTGGTAAAGGTCAGAGGACTTCATCCTGTTTGACAGAGAGGGTGCTGGGTATATTTAGAGTGGCAGGAGAGGCAAAAGGATCTCAGTCCTCAGGGAACTCTCATCCTTAGGTTTGAACCATGACATTAACTACAGTGCTATGCAGAACGTGTGAGTCTGTAATCACTCTGTATGGCTGAGATGATATGAACACATTTCAGCCGAGCTGCTCACAGACCACAGACCATGTTCTCAGGGGCACAACTTATGTAATATGAGGGGGAAAAAAATGACAGTGGAACATTGTAAATGAAAACATAAAACATTTTGTTTTGCATATGCTTTCTTAGTCACCAGTCTTTATAGGTTTTTCAATAGGGATTTCTCAATAGTGAATGCAAAGTTGTTGGCCAGTATAATGTATAATAAATATATTTATGCATGCATGGTACATAATTTAATGATAACAAAACATGCACAAAATTGTTGCAAAATGGCTGGATGATACAGCTAAAAATGCATATAATTTTGTAGCCGTATTGTGTGAATGTTGATTTGTGTATTTGCTCTATTTAATTTTTTTTTTAAATCAGAAGCATAATTTTGAACTGAAATTCTTTTTTTTTTTCTTTTTTTTTTTTTTACAATAGAGTGAAAATATAAATATTTATTTAAAATATTAATATATATATGTTTTATATATTTTATATACTTAAATGCATGAAAACATTTTTAAATATATAGATTTTTAAAATAATGTAGCCTATTTTTAAATTGCATAATTTATGAAATTATTAAAATATATAATATATAAATTTTATAAACAAAAACAGCAATATTTCTCACGTTTTAATAAAACATTTTAATACATGGAAATGCCAATTAGGGACATCCAGGAACATTTCTGAGAGCTGATATAATGAAACCGTTTGAATTATTTAATTTCAACCAAACTGACAGTGATTCGACAGTGAGCTTTTAGTTTTACCAACTATTGCCATTTTTTCCACAAAATATATTTGTGAGACTTGAGACACAAAACATGGATGGATCGTGAAACTAGTCTAATGACTAGTGATTGCAGTTGCAAAAATGATTACAATATTCAGTGTTTCCTAAAAATGATATTATTTGAATATTTAGCAGATGCTTTCATCCAAAGCAGCTTACATTGCATTCAGTGTATTCATTTTATTAGTTCATGCATTCCTTGGGGATTGAGCTCATGACCTCGGTGTTGCTGGCGTCATGCTCTGTTGTTTGAGCTACAGGAACGCCAGCAAAGTCTCAAATGTATCAAGAATATTCAGCATGTTGGCCATCCCTACCAAAATTTACACAAAAACTTGTGAAAACTGTGAAACTTGTGTTAATTCACCATTTTGCTTGTAATTCCCCTAATCAAATCAGTGGCAATAAATTGGTGTCTCTGTCTTCTTCTTGCAGGTCCAAGTCGTGATGGTACCATCGGTGAGGACACCATCCGAGCGTCGCTGATCTCAGCCGTGAGCGATAAACTGCGCTGGAGAATGAAGGAGGAGATGGACAGAGCGCAAGCCGAGCTGGACGCCCTGAAGAGGACGGAGGAAGACCTGAAGAAAGGACACCAGAAGCTGGAAGACATGGTGTCCCGCCTGGACCAGGAAGCGGTACGAACATTTGCAATTACTCTATAGGTTGTTCTTCCCAAATTCTGCATTGAGATCAGAAACATGACATTTTGTGGCACCCTCAGGCTGAGGTGGACAGAAACATCGAGCTCCTCAAGAAGAAGGACGTGGAACTTAGCGAAGCTCTGGAGAAGATGGAGAACCAGTCGGAAAACAATGACATTGACGACGTGATCATCCCAACAGCCCCGCTCTACAAACAGATCCTGAACCTGTACGCAGAGGAGAACGCCATAGAGGACACCATCTTTTACCTGGGAGAAGCCCTGCGGAGAGGAGTCATCGACCTGGAGGTCTTCCTCAAGGTCTGTTCATCTCTTCTTTCAGAGAACAATGCAGGTTTTGGCACAACCTTGGCATTTATTGTACTATTCTTGGTAATATTGTGTTTGACATCCCCATTCGTCTCGTTTTTGTCCTCAGCATGTGCGTCTGCTGTCCCGAAAACAGTTCCAGCTGCGAGCGCTCATGCAGAAAGCGCGAAAGACAGCCGGACTCAGTGACCTTTACTGACCCTGCGCTCCAGCTCTGATCACACGAGCCAGACTCGGATCTAATCGCTCTGTGGTATGTCAGTGGGAGTTTAGCTGTTAATGATATTTTACTTCTGAGAGAGTTTTTTAGCTACTGTAACCGGCTGACTTTATTTTCTTGATTAGGAAAAGGCACAATTGCAAATCGGGTACAATATTTGAACGCTAAAAGGAAAAACTAGACCTGAGCATTAGAAGTAAATGAGATGTCATAGACTTAATGTTCCTTCTTTCATGTGAGCTTCTTGTGGCAGGCCTTTGGCTTTAGATACTACTGTTATTAACCGTACAGAGTGATAACTTTTAAAATGTGACGTCTGCAGGAAGTATATGAGGAAATTGCTCTCAGATGTGGATAGCGACTCCTGTTTTCATTCAGGCACTGTTTCAAAGTGTAGTCATACTCCATAACTATGTGAATCTCACAGGAAAATTCACCTCAAAATAAAATATATATTTTCTGCATAAAACATGTAGGACTATTAATATTTTTTTTAGATTGTGTAAAATATTAAGTACATTTAGGTAAAAATGTTGGGGGGGGGAATTAAGTACATGTACTGCCAAAATATCTAATTAAAGTGATCAGAAAAAGAAAAAAAGGCAATACTGTAATGCAGTAAAAATAATCCAGTTCATTTTGGATTCTAATTTTTAAAAAATTAAAAACAGCATAAATTAAATTCAGTAAAACAAATCAGATATTTAAAATGTATTTTATAATTTATTTTGTATTTACAATGAGAATTTGAGGGAAAATGTGCTTTATCACATTGCAATAACTCTTTATGCAAGTTTTCTTTATGCAGCATATTACTTATTATTCCTTCCTTTGATTTTGGGGTGAAATATGACATTTCTTGACCAGTTTCTGTGAGATTCACCCAACTTATGGAGAACAGTGACTGAGAACTTATGGTTCCATATTTCAATTTTATTACATTTATTATTTATCTCATTGCAATTGGGAACTATTTGCTGTTCCAGATTTATTGTAACATTGTTACAACTGTATATCATTTCGCTGTACACAAAGTTTGGTTTGTGACTAATAATGTTTGAAAACTGAAAAGATATAATCTGTTGCACTGTACTTTTTTTTTTTTTTTTTTACTTTTTATTCTTCCAAATGTTTAAAAAAATTCTTACCTGTTACATTTCAGTCAGTTGTCTTAATGCACTTTTTGGATGTGAATTAAGATTTTTAAGACTTGAGTTGAATTTCTTAGTGAGACTTTACCCCCTTATCTGCTAATATTCGTTCCTATTTGTAGCAGGCTGTAGATTATGATGTCAGGCATATCAATAAAAGAACATGATCTTAAATCATGATAGATTTGTGAATGGTCAGCACCTTGCATCATTTTTTCATATCAGTGCATGTAATAAATAATTGGCAGGTGCCATTGTGCTAACCTGTATTTGACCTTGAGGTTTTGAACTCTAGACGGGCCTGATATTGATGCTATATAACTTCATGCACCTGAAATGCTCTAGTAAACTTTTGACACAGACAGTTTAGACAACATTGTCCACTAACCCAGTTTGTTTCTGTACAGCTGTTATTTCTATTCATTCTGCAGAACAAAGAGACGGACAGGCAGCTTTTGTAGCTAGTCACACTGTTTATTCAGTCACGGGCTGTGTCTCAATTCTACAATCACACGCTTCAAGTAACCACTATAACCGTCGCTGTTGTCTCACCACTCGGCTGGGAGTTTTTCATTACATGAAAACTTAAGTTATAGTTAACTTAAGTTATTCAATGTGTTTACATGCGCAATCTTGCAATGTTTACGATGCTAAAATGCTTTAAACAGTGTTCTGCTCGTAAAGTGATTTCTCTCTGCATGTTAAGTTATTTGGATTCTGTCATGTTATTAAATGGACCATAGTTATGTAACATGTACAGAACAAATTCATTCGTAATCATTCGTAAATACATTCTTATGCAAATTGTTGCATTCAATTCAATCAACATTGTTAACTCCCATTCAGTTTAACAATTCAAAATGAAAAACAAATCTAAGGTTAACTGTCGCATTTCATGTAGAAATTCTAAATTGTTCGTAAAACCATTCTAAGGAAAATTGTTGCATTAAATTCAACGTGACAGTTCAAAATTGTTCATAATACCATTTTTGCATTAGTTGTCACATTTAATGTAACTGAAAATGTAAAACAGTTCAAAGTTAAAGTGTTGCTTTAAATTCAATGCGACAATTCAAAATCATTCATTAAACCATTGAGTTAACTGTTGCATTTAATGTAGAAATTCAAAATTGTTCGTAAAACCATTCTAAGATAAAACCGTTGCATTAAATTCAATGTAACAATTCAAAATTGTAAATAAAACCATTCTTTTAAAGCAGTTCCAAGTTAAATTTTTGGAACAAATTCAATGCGAAAAATTTAAATCATTCGCTAAACCATTGTTGCATTAATTGTTGCATTTAATTTAGAAATTCAAAATTGTACCTACAATAATTCTAAGGTAATTAACTGAATTCAATTCAATGCAAAAAGTTATGCATGAAAAGTTGGCCAATTTACAGATTTTTGTTCTGCTTGTTTCACAAATGAGGACTATTGTGCGTATGTCTTTTTATAATTTGATGTCAAATCCTGCCACCAAAAAAAAAAAACAACAACAACACAATTTTCCAGGTTTCCAAGCTGATTTTAAACGTTTATCATTTTGTTGTACATGTAAACACACCATGAAATTTCATAAAACTGATATTTTGTAGCTTTGGTTTTACGTGTTGGTCTTGCTGAAATGATCAATTGCGTGACACAGGACATAAGTACGGAATGCTGCTGACCTCAGAATGGAATAAAATAAGAGCCTCAAATTGCACATCATCTTGTTCACAAATGCTTTTTTCTTGAATATACAATAGTACGCACATAGACACAAACTTTTACAAAGGTTGATGATCTTTGTCAAGACAACAGAAATAAACTATTTCTCCTCTGCAGCTAAAATCGCTTAAATAAGGAGCGTTACAATCTGAAGGTCTGAGACTGGCGTAGAGATATCTGATGGTTACAGGCAGTGAGGTTGTGAGGTCAGGAGAGAGATAGGCAGGACTCATCGGGGTTAGTCATTTGTGACACTGGCTACATTTTGGAGGAGACCGCGGTTCACAGGGTCAGCTCCTTCTGAACGCCCCACAGGGTCTCAGCACTCTTCACCAGCTGTTTCACCTCGTCTGACTTGAGGGTCATGTGGACAACATCTGTCAAGCCGCTGTTACCCAGGATGCAAGGCACGCTGAGGAAGACCTCTTCATTCACACCATGCATTCCCTGTGAATATGCAACAAGTGTCAGATAATGGTGCTCTGTAGACTTTGAACAGCTCTGTTCCAAAATTAGCAAGCTAATCACCTAGCCAACAATTTTAGACATCACAGGCTGTTCAGATTAAATTATTCATCCTTATTAGATACCTCATTTTGGCCTAATATAAAGCAGCACCGCATGTACCTTTTGAAGATAATTCAATCCCAGAATGCACTGGGACAAACTCTGAGAAGCATTGTATCCAAAATGGTGGACTGATGAATTCAGAAATTCAGAAAGTGCAATGAAACCTTGCAAAGGAAACTTGGTTGGTTTGAAAACAACCTGCAATAGCTTCCGATAGTTTGCCGTTAGCATGTTGCTACGCTAATGATGTTGGTGCATACTGCCTCAATTGCATTCAGTACTGAAGCATCGGAAGATAAATTAGTTGTACACCAATTTGTGTGCTTTTGTGCTTGCTTTGTTAGCTTAGCAACATGCTAACATAAGATCTACAGAAACCAACTGTGAACGTCAAGTCTTTTATGCGTTTTGCGTCATGAGTGCGAATTGTGCCACTTGTGTGAGTTACATAAAGTGTGACTTGTCCATAAAGAGTCGTTCAGAGCAGTTACTGGGTATATAAGACCGTTTAATCAAAGTAAAACCGATAACTAAATATTTGTGCTTTTGTTAACAACATGCTAACATAAGATCTGTTAAAACCAACTGTGAACATTAATCAAGTCTTTCACGTTCTGTGTGTGATGAGTGCTTTTTCTGGCACTTGAGGGAGTTGTTGTCCAAGAGTTGTTGTTCAGATCAGTTACTCGTACACAAGAAAGATCGATCCAATTAAAACTTGGATTTACTTGAATTAATTTGTTAGGCTAGCAACATACTAACATAAGATCTATTGGAACCAACTGTGAACATGAGTCAAGTCTTTTGTATGCTTCACTTGCGGCGTTTGTGCCACTTGTGGGACATACTGTCCATGAAGGGTTGATCAGGTCAGTTACTTTGTACATAAATCAATCCAATTAAAATTTCACCCGATATTTGTGCGTTTGCGCTTTGTTAGCTTAGCAACATGCTAACGCAAGACGTACTGGAACCAACTATGAATGTTAATCAAGTCTTATGCTCTTTGCCTGATGAGCATTATTTGTGGCACACAAAAAGTTGTTCAGATCGGGTACTCGGTACATAAGATTGTTAGCTTAGCAACATGCTAACGATCCAACTGTTAAAATACTGGAACCAACTCTGAACGTTAGTCAGTTCGTCTGTGTGCTTTAAGTTTGTGTTGCATAGGAGTTGCTGTCCATGAAGAGCTTCCCAACTCCCTCTCTTGGACTTGGACCAGGATGTTGCCATAGAAGGTAGTTGCCTATGTAGTCATTAGATGATGGTTTTGGAATGGAGTTTATTATTATATATGTGCATATTTATGTTTTGACTCTCCGTGCTAGAAAAATTATGGCTCACAATATTTGGTTAATGAATATGGCTGGTCATCCAGAAATAAACAAGAGAATCTCACCTTGACCAAAGTTGAAACTGGATGACACTTGCGTAGGTTCTTCAAGATGCTCTCACACAGGTCAGCTACAGACATACCAATAGCCCAGGAAGTGTAGCCCTTCAGCTTAATAACCTCATATGCACTGCCAGTACAAACCAGATTTATGTTAAACACAGATAAACAACCACGAGTCCAGACTAAATACATTTACACAAGGACTTGATTTATAGGCTTTCTAATGGCAACACGGTGTACACATCTATTAGAGATCACATACAAATGAAGAGAAACGACTCTTAACCCTTGGCCTCTCTCCCTAAAACCCTTCTATATGTCGTTCTAAACCACTGTATGAATGTCTAGTTGGTTACAAATTATTCACCTGTCAACCACCATCTTGTGGACGCTCTTCCAGTCCTCCTTGTCTTTATCTGTTCCCATGTCAGGGTTCAGACCCTGGAGGGACACTCCAGCCACATTGACTCCGCTCCACACAGGAACTACAAAAGAAAGAGAACGTTTACATTTTATGAAGAAAATGATTGGTGTTCATTGTGCTCTTGAAGCACATCTGTGCTCCCAATCATCTTTGCAGTCCTCACCGCTGGAGTCTCCATGTTCTCCAATGACCCAACCGTGGCAGCTAGATGGGTGAATGCCCAACTTCTCTCCCATCAGGTAACGGAAACGAGCAGAGTCCAGGTTTGTGCCGCTGCCGATCACACGGTTCCTGGGCAAACCGCTCAACTTCCAGGCCACGTAGGTCAAGATGTCAACTGAAGAGAAGACGACATTGGTTTATGGTCTCTGCTACATGAAGTCAACGGAAACCTTTGAGCACAAAAGGACAATCAGTCGTAATGTCGGTCCAGGAGTGACATACCTGGGTTTGAGACCACCAGAAGGATGCAGTTGGGGCTGTACTTGATGATGTTGGGGATGATGAACTTGAAGATGTTGACGTTCCTCTGGACGAGGTTCAGGCGGCTCTCGCCCTCCTGCTGACGGGCTCCAGCGGTCACAACGACCACTTTGGAGTTTGCCGTCACGCTGTAGTCTGGAAATCACATGGAATGATCAATTTTGGAAAGATCTCATGCTCCCCTGGTTTCTATATTCCTGTCAAACACTCTCAAGGCTTGCTAAGACCAAGCTTAAGTAGATCGTAGAAACCACTGGCTCCAATGGTCTTTAAAATGTGATTATGCTTATGATGTTTTTGGAAAATGCACCCCAAGACTGAATAATTGCAAATATTTGTTTAGACAGGGGTGCCCAGTCCTGTTCCTGGAGATCTTCCTCCCTGCAGAGTTCAGCTCCAACCCTGATCAAACGCAACCGAACCAGCTAGTAAGATCTTCAGGAGCCCTTGATAATTACAGAAAGGTGTATTGGATCAGGGTTGGAGCTGAACTCTCCAGGTAGGTAGATCTCCAGGTATAGGATTGGTCACCTCTGGTTTAGACCCTAGGTCTTCAACCCTGCTCCTAGGGACCCACTGTCCTGCAAAGTTTATTTCCAACCTGCTTCAGCTCACCTAGCCTGCGATTTTTCAAGCAATCCTGAAGACTGATTAGATGGTTCAGGTGTTTGATTAGGGTTGTAGCTGTACTCTGCTGGACAGTTGGTGCAGGGTTGAAGACCTAGGGTTTAGACTTCATACAAGAACTACTACAGACCAGTTTACACTAGCAAAAAAAAAGAAAAAATTGTCTTTTATGCGTTTCACGTCATGAGCGCTTGTGGGAGTTGCTGTGCATGAAGAGTTGTTCAGATTAGTTGCTCTGTAAATTCAATTAAATTCAAGTTTATTTGTATAGCGCTTTTCACGATACAAATCATTGCAAAGCAACTTTACAGAAAATTAAGTTTCTACAATATATTTAGTAGTAGCTTATCAGTTGTGACTGTCAGTTAATGTACATATGGCAGAAATGTACGGAAAATCAATTAAAGACATAATCAATCCAATTAAACCTGCACCCAATATTTGTGCGCTTGCACTTTGTTAGCTTAGCAACATGTTAATATACGATCTACTTTTATGTTTTTTTTTGCGTGATGAGCACTAGTTGATCATCTTTACTATTTTTTGCATCGAGTTTCGCACTGTTGGCACCATTCGAACCGCGGCTTTTTAGATGCCCGAGCACATTAAATTGATGGCGAAACCTGTTGCTGAGGTTCAGAACACTCTGATTGGCTGTTCAGTTTAGTGAACCAGTATACAAGAAGAAAAACAGAAGTAGCAAAAGTCAAGAGCTCTTCTCATTTTTCATCTTTGGTTTGAAAATGGTGAGCAAGTGCAGCTTTAAGGTTTTTACATCCACAGTTTTAACTCTTCCGGTTTTCCTTTTGAAATCACGAATACAAACTGCTGCCACCTGCTGGTATGGAGAGTTATTTTCTCTCACGCAGGCACAGAACGTACGTGCTAGTTGGCCAAAGGCTGTAGACTTCGCAGTGTGTTCAAGCACAACTTTTTGGCCCAGATGCTGCTACTTTGATGTCTGTGTGGTGTGTCTGGGCATTTAGGGGGACAATGATTATTTTAGGTCAAAGCAAACTGGTAAGTTATTCATTACTTTTGTTAATTAAAAAATATATACATTTTATATAACTAATAAATATGCAGTTCCCTTTTAAATTGCTGAATGCTGCTTTTAACTTTAATATTTTACTTCTACTGTTATTTAAATGGTAAACAATTTTGTAATTACATTACATATTTCTGAATCAAGGTTACCTCACTGGTACAAACTGGTACATTATTACCAAATCAGCACCAATCGAACTGTCTGCTCCTTATCTTCAACCATAAATTCTCCCTTTTTCCCCAATAGTAGATTATGAAATCTGACCTTTATCCGCCACTATCTTGTGTGTCTTGAGAAAGAGGCTTCCATGCTGCAGGTCCATAGCCTCTCCTTTCAGCTTATCTTCAATCACGTCCACTAGGGCGAGTTCATCAGTCAGATCCTGCACAAACACATGCATTGACTTCAACACTCCTCTACTGATAATACAATCCTCTCCACCTCTTAATGGCCAACAGCGCTGGTAAATGTTGAGTTTAGGATTTTATTTGATCGCCTAGTCACCTCAACCGGTTTCATTCAGAGTAAAATTGAAGTTACACTATATTTCTTCTTAATATGGCATTGTAGGTTCAACAATTGCATTTAACACCGATGGAAAAATGCAGAGCTGAAGTGTGAAGCAAACTCTTCGAATTTGCTTAGTCTCCAGATACGGGGATCATGTTTGATCTTGGCGGAGGTTCAAGGCCTTCTCATTCAGAAATCGCTCTATGTTCAAAGGTCAGGAAAGCTTTCAAAGCAGTGTTATTTTCCTCGAGCCACAGCAGCTTTACCCACAGTGAGAATTCAGGAGAAGAACACGATAGTTCAAGGAAGATACAGGAATCAATATGATGTTTTCATTCCATAGTTTTTGGTTTAGAGGTTATAGGAAAAAGTGGACACAACAAGGCATTTAATTTCATTTGGACATACACAAACTGCAAATTCTTACCAGTTGTTAAAATTTTATTAAAATCATAGAAGTTGTTGGCACATAATTAATTTTTTACCTCATAAAATTTGTATGAAAACTCCAATTTCTATATAAGTGATATGCGATTTATACAGTAATAGCAATGACATGGTCTTTTTCCTCATTTTCACCACTACTCTTCACAGAAACAGTAAAGATAGACAGGAAATGATGGGGGAACAGGGTTGGGAAATGTTGCGAGCCAGATTCAAACCCACAACAGAATCGTGGTTCATGCATCGTAGTAACCAGATAGGCACATTTCTGTCCTTTATGATTACAGATGAAAATTGTGTCATGTAGATCATTTACAAAGGTCTAATTTTACTAAATTAATTTAAAAATAAATGATTTATTTCTCAACTAATTGTAAAATAAATCTATCATTTAGATATTTTAAAAAGGCCCAATTAAAAAAAAAAGTTAAATTAGACCCGTCAAGTGACCTAAATGAGATTATTTTGAAATAAATGATTAATCTTTCAATTACTTTTAAAATAAATCTGTAATTTAGATGGTTACTTGATTTTTTTTTAATAAATTATTAATAACTCAATTTTATAATTCCTCAAAATATTTTTGAATTAAATAAAAATTAAATTATTTTATTACTCAGCTTGTTTTCTTTTTTAAATAATTAGTCAATGCATAATCTAAAACTTCCAATTTTACTAATTTTATTTAAAAATAAGTTAGCAATCATTATTCTATTTTAAAATGAATTTGAAACATTTTAAATGGCAAAGCATGAATGCTGTTGTCAGTTATATAATGTGTTCTGTGATGGTGTTTATCCAGTGCAGTGACTCACTGACCTTGAGGAGGATGCTGACGGCGGCGGCCATCCCAACCATCCCCACACCCACCACGGTCACCTTGTTAGTGGGCCCTGCCGGCCCCTCCTTGCTCACGTGAGCGATGAGCTTCTCCTTCGTAGAGGCCATCTTCAGCTGCAGGAGACAGAAACTCCTCAGTTAGGATGCTTTTTAAATGCATCATTGATTTGCTTGCAGTATCAATGCTCGTCAAGACAGAAGGAATGAACTATGGGTAATGTGAATCTGAACTGCTTCTTATAAGACGGCATTTTGAAACAAACAGCTGCTCTGATGGATCATTTACATGTCACTGTGGCTCCACTAAGGGATGTAGCCATTTCATCTTCAAGTCAAGTGCAGTGAGGGAAAAGGTTAAAGGTGAAAGAGCAAAGCGCTATTTTCATCCCTCACGTCGTCCAGCCTCTGCAGTGTTGTGCGCGCAGACGCACGTAGAGGAAAGGATCTGCAGAACTCATGCAAAGTGGATCAACAAACCACCTCAAGAGCCCCTCATGACTTAAACCTCATTCATCACACGCACTCAAAACACCAGCACTTTAGAGACCATCCCTAACGTCTGTAGTCATTTATCATCACTAGAAAACGACACATTTTATTATGTTTACACTTGAGACCTTGTAGAACATGCACTGATGAATTGATTAAATTCACATTTATTTATTTATTTTGAGTTTTAACCAATAAATAAGAATATTTTAGAGTTACGGTGTGTGTTGTATTGTTGGATAAATAAATCTATAAATAATAATATATAAAAAATAAAATGAAGTATTTTATTTCAAGACGTCGCCAAGGTATTCTTTTCATTTAGTTTAGTAACTTGATGTACTAAAATAACTAAAACATAATTAACAACTATAGACATATTTAATAATAATAATAATAATACTAAAATAAGTCAAATTAACGAATTCAAAATGTTAAATAAAGCTATAATATAATCTCAACTATATACCAAAATAACACTGATTCTCAGTCGATTCTAATTATTGTATCACAGTAATTAAAAGTCATTTTAAGGAGGCTGGCGTTGAGCTGACGCAAACTCAACTCAACTCATTTCGAGATCGTACGTGGGGAAATTCTACACATGCTGAATGAAAAACCGACTCATCTTGCGCAAAAACAAAAAGTGCAAAACGGGACTTTTATGTGTTCAAGCATGCGGACGACCCCAAATGCACCCATAATCACCACAAGTCCCAGAATCCTTTGCAGGTCAGGAAGCAAGAGCACAGATTTCTTGAAGCACGTAGGCTTCAGTGACACAAACCCGAAAGACGCATCAACATGATTCATATTCTCCAATAATGCGCGCAAATAACCACTGCATGATAAAGAAATGCAAGTGAAAAATGCGTCTAATTATCAGTAAATATTTGTTTTCATGGTGTGCATCGACGATTACGTCACATCACAGCCAAACTGTTGCTTTCATCAGGAATGAATGATGATTATCTCTCTGCACATTACAGTGAGGATGTGACACAATCTAATAATGAATGCTATATATAAATTATATTTTTTATTACATATAGACAGAAAAATACTACCCAAAACCGCATATTCTGCGCTTTAGATGCTTTTTTTTAAATGTGTTTTAAACTACTAAGTAGTGCCAGCTAGCGTCTTACCTGTATGTAGCTGTAATTGTACAGTAATATTCAGTGTAGTCTGGCAGGAATGTCGCGCTGAGAGGTTTTTCCGCACTGCGCTGAGAGGAAGAAGCTGCGCGCAGCATTATAAAGCGCAGAACGCCCTCGCGTCACATGCGTCATTTGCATATGCATCAGGTGGGCGTGGCTTCGCGTCTAGTGATGGAAGTCACGTGCATCAGGGGAAGCGTCATGGAAGCGGACGCGACAGTTTCATTTACACTAGAACGCGTTTAATGTCACGAATGAACTGCCCACAAAACATTTAACATGGAAAATAGATATCGCACGTTTAATGCAAGCATTCTTGTTATTTTAGTATTTATGCATTTGTGAACAGAGTAAACCCAGCTAACAGAAATATGTTATAAGAACGTAATGCTAACGTTCCCATTAAGTTATACATTTTTCTAAATGTTCAAAACGTCCGGTTTAAAAATGTTTTAGAAACGTTTTTTCTTGGTTGTGCGAACATTATTTAGTTTTGAATGAAACAAGTAGTAAAATAAAATAATAAATAAAAATAAAAGGTTAGATGAAAGTCCAACTAAAATGTTTCAGAAAAAAAAAACTTCGGCAAAATTCATATAAATATTTAAATATTAAAATAATATGGAACAGCAAACCTCGCAATGAAAATGCACACGCATTAGAAAAAAAATACACAAAGCAATTTCACAACAGGATGCTGTGAATATTTCTCCTCAGTAAGTACAGTGTGTACTTCAAGAGTAATGAGCATCAGTGTCAGATAGGCAGTAGATTAGTGTTGTAGCAGTACTGTAGAAATGCAATATCTTTTTATCTTTTTGAATAGCCTACAGAATATCTTTTATATAGGCTATATATATATAATTATCTCATACATGATTACAATTGAAATGTTAACCATCAGTTTTAGACTGAATGATATGTAAAAAGTTGCCTATAGGTCAATGTTAGCAGGTTAACCTAAAACTGACAACAGACTGATTATTAGCCTAAATTGTAAAAAGCGCATTCTGTGCCGTTTTTAATATGTTTTGTAATGAAACCGCACCATCTTGTGGTGAGAAAAGTTAGTTTCATCAAGAATTTAGTATGATGTGTAGGTTATACAGGTGCATCTCAGTAAATTAGAATGTCGTGGAAAAGTTCATTTATTTCAGTAATTCAACTCAAATTGTGAAACTCGTGTATTAAA